TTTAGTGAAATGCCTGCATCAAGAGTCAAAGACTAGTGCAGTCCCAAGAATAGACCAGAAGCCTCCCTCTCTTCTTCCCCACTCTCTTGTCATCTTCTGCTTGTATCAAATAAAATCTTGCAACTTCAAATATTAGTCTGACCAGTAACATATTTACACTTGCCTCATCTGCAGGAATTTCATGAAAATGGCACATATCTGTCATAAACAATCCCAAGAATTTCAGCATCTTTGAACGGTATTGATTAAAGAGATCAAAGTCCCTGTTGCTGAACTTAGCATTACCTGCCATAAATAAAAAAATGGATTTTAAGTAACTAGACAGTGTTACAAAATAGGCTTAATGCATAATGTCATGTTTCTATGCTGAAAATTATGCCACACGCATCTGGAATAGCTGGGTGTTTTTCAGAGTAGACTATAGAATGCCCCTGTTTCTGGCTTATTTTGACAACCCTAAACAAGTAGCAATGGTTCATAACATCAGAGATTCAAAATATCAGCTAAAACAAGTCCATCCTAGGATACCAACTGAGCTCAATATAATAGGAAGTTAGAGATAAGTGCAACTGACATATGAATGTAATGAAGAATCAAAAGTCAAACCTGAAAGGTCCAGCCAATCTAAATTTGGAAGAGATGGCAGCAATCGTTCCAAAAATTGTCTGTTCACCAAGACTGCACTGCAACTTAGAAATCTATCCATTTCCACTACTTCATCTGGATCGTGTTTTGATAAGTCCAGATGTTGCAGTTGGGTCAAATTCTTTAAACTTTCTAGTAACATCTGATTTGACGAAAACAGTTTTCTACAATTGTATAGAGACAACCACTGTAGGGACCTAACAACGAAAAAAGGACAAGAGACGAAGTTTAATTTTTAAGTTAACATTTGGTCAATGGATCAGCATTTGTTCATTGAGATATCATGCACTCTGGAGGTTTTTAATGCAGTAACTAGGGGCAACTTGAGATTCTTGGGTGCTCGTCAAATTTCTAAGTGTTTTATATCTCAATGTATGCCCAGATGATTTGTGAATTAATTGTTTTACAACATTTTCATTGCAGAAGTTTGAATGTTGCACATAGAAAATTTTGCTCTGCTACACTTCAATGCATACACATAAGTTCTATCAAGTTCTAAAAATTAGTTTGATGAAAAAAAGCCAAGTGGGTAAACTGAAAAACAGTCTTTGCTAGATGAACACTTATGAGAGATTGAGAAAGAACTTTCTGTTTTTGCTTATTAAAGTAGCTAGCACTTCATAAAAAAAAGGAGTTGCTGAAAATGCCAGCTACAAGTGCTACATTGTCCACACTAGAAGAGTTTATGAGAGTTTTTTCATGAAGCAGCCGGGAGAGTTGTTTTTCCTCTCAGATGGGATCTTAACCAATGTCACTCCTTCAATGTAGACTGTGGACCACAAAGTTTGCTCTCTGATAAAGGGTTTGGTAAAATTTCCGTACAGCCCATACTACATTATGCATTCAGTTCTTGGATAGAGAAAACAATGAAAAAACAATACATTGCCATTGGGAAAACAGATTTGTTTTACAATGGTATGGGGCTGTGTGGAAATTTTACCAAGGGTTCCTGTCCAGAAAGACAATCTGATAAAGACAGTTAACGTGGAACTGACCACCCTCTTAAAGACTTTTTCGTATTTATTATAATTACTACGTAAATCATACCTACGAATGGTTTCCAAAGGTTTAATGCTTTCGATCTCCCTACAACATGACAAGTCGAGATTTGTGAGCATCGCCAGAGTATTTAATGGATCCAGTGAAACAATTTCTGTTCCACTCAAGTTCAACATTCGGAGATTGACCAGATTTACAAAAAACCGAATTCCATTTCCATCGTCTAGCCAAGTGTCTGAAACGTCTAAACTCTTAAGACCAGTCAAATGACGGAGTTCCTTGAACTCAGTAATTTGACGGCAATGAACCATCTTTAAAGATGTCAGAGTGCTTTTGCATTTAGCCAAAGAAACGAGGGCTTTTTCTGAGACCTCACAATGTGATACGTCCACCTCTCGCAGAGGATGACGAGAAATAAATTCCAGTGCGATGTCTGTTATACGTGCCCCACTCATGTGCAACTTAGTAATCCTGCTTGTCTGAACGTCGGCCAAATATGTCGACACAAAGTCATCGTCACAATGTCCGGACTTCAGCTTTTTACTTATAAGTGCTGTACAAAGATCTTCAGGTATAAAGGTATTTGTTCGTTCATCCCATTTCCTGGACGATTCAAGGTATTTTAAAGAAGACTGAAAACACAGATCAGCGAGAGATGAAACACTCTGTTTACGTGATGAATCTTTGGTCATCTTTACCGTCAATAACATCAGCACTTTCCCATCGTAGTGCGAAGACAATTCATCAAAAACCAAAAATAGGATGACGAAAATGAAAGTTAGGGACTACTGTTGTCTTTCGTAGCATTTCATTAGTTCCCAGTTTCTTAGAAAGACTGAAACTTCTTTGGGTAGAGCGGGTGGATAGAGTTTGGGAGCTCATACAATGATAGTGGGATATTTCGAAAATTAATTCAGTCTGAGATAGCCTGCAGCGCAGGCGTCTTATTAGTGCGAGCTAACGTTATAACCTCGCGATTGTTCATCCGGACCGGTCATGTCTGATGTGGAGTTAGGGTGGACAGTTCACCCTACCCCTCTTCTTATTTTTGACCGACGGGCGCCCCTTGGTACAAATTTCTTTCTCTCCCCAATCTTCCGCTGCTATTAAACTCAAAGATGGCGGCCATAATGCAGAGCTCTCGCTCGCCAAAATTACACCTGCTCTGCAAGCTAGCTCTGAGAAGGTGCAAGGTCATTCGATAGAAAGTTTTCTTTATTTTGTTGAAGGGCCCAGATATCAATTTCAAGGAGAAATTGGTTTTCCAGCATGAAATGGGTGATAAACAATGATATTTAATAATTATTTCATAGCCTTGAATCTACATCTTGAATACTTTAAACGTATGTTTCACGTGTCAAAACACTTACAGGGTGATAGGTTTCTTTGAAGTGCGAGGCTAGTTCAGCTGAGTGTTCAGCTGATGCATGGCAACCCGAACTTTTTGCACTTGAACCAAAAGTAAGACTGGCAGCGACTGGCAGCTAACATACTTACGAATTGTGCGCGTGTCAACTTGTAAGTGAGCTGTCAAGTTGGGGAGACTCAAAGTTGATCAAGAAATTCCTATCAACTCATCTGTTCGTCAAGTAACAAAAAGCTACAATGAGTTAGCGACACATTCCTTGCTTGGAGAAGTGCCCTGTCATTATGATCGGCAACATAAAGGTTGGTACTCCACACAATTTTATTGCATAACTTGATCGACAGCCCTTAAAATGACGCGAAACCCAAAAACTAAGGGCACAAATATATCGTTATTCTCACTCTCTCAAACTGGTCCTTGTTGCCTCGTTTCAATTTAAGAGCTACTATTAATTTTGCTAAGACTATCCAAGGGAAGTCGGGATCAGTTAATTTGTGGAGTAAAATCATATTATTAAATACAATTTTAAGACTTGCCATTTTGGATCAGCTGGATATGACTTTTCCTCTCAAACGGACATTACTTATCATTTGAACAAGAAATAGGTGTTACTTGCTATTCAAAAGTGTCAAGGCCAAAGGCAGAGGAAGCTGATGAGGTTTTTGTTATGCTCATTCAGTTTGGCCCATTGGATTTGAGAAGATTTAAAGGTTGAAATAAAATCAAAGGAGAATGCAGGGGGGGAAAACACCCATCACCTCACTGCTAATTCTCCAAACTTGGTACCTTTCAATTTTGTTGTGATAGCTATGAGAATCTTGCACTACATCAAAACTACGGATTTCATAGCTATACACCCTTGATGTATGTAGTAGCTACACATACTAATATACCAGAAAATATTATCACTCTCCATCTATAAGTTACTCCTACCAAAGGAGAAAAAATTAATTGTCATGAGGATTCAAATCAGGCTCAGGTGGTATTGAATTGGAAACATTTGACCACAGCTCTTAGGTTTATTTGAAGGCAAAGAGTGAGATTTTTTACCACATAGCTGTCTATTGGCATGTTGCCTGCATCACTTGAAATTGTGCTAAGCTACTGACAGAAGGAAATTTTCAACAACAAATAATATTCTGCTCATCATACATACTTTTATTTGGCTTTACCGTTACTTAATCACCAAAGATCAGCTTTTTTTACCCATACATCTAGTTACCAAAAAGCGTGGAAAAGATGCAAGTGACCAAGTCAAGATCAGCTGTAGTTTTTTCTCCAGTTGGTAGAAATGTTGGTGCCAGTTTTCTTGGTCAATCACAAAGTGAAGTAAGGCAAAACCAAATTACGTCTCTTGCATTACTTTTCAAACTTATGGGAAATTGCTCTTCTCTAATGTTCTAAGAAAGTACTCAAAATTCTACTAAATGAAGCTGTACTATGCCAGATATGCAAAACCACCTAAAAAGAACCAATCAACGGATGTCAGTGGTAAATAAATAAATGGAAACGTATTCCTCATCTAATGCAGCAGCACAATACCCTGAGAAAAGGGTCCAATTATCTCTAGACAGATATAAATTAATGTAATTGTAAAAATTTTGTTTGACAAAGTTAATGCTAGAGACTGACCAACCAAGATTGATCTCATTTTCCTGAGAGATGCCTAAAGAAACTATCTTCTTACTAGTTTGTCAATGTGAGTTTGTTACGAATTCAGGTAGGTTTAAAATGCATGTTTAAGTAACCCTAGTTTGAAATAACTGAATTTGTTGTGGTCTTGAAACAAATTTGCCCCACAACTAGAACTGGCAAGGTCATACTCAAAAACACTTTTTTTCATTTCACAACCTCTGTTAGTTGTCACATTCCTCATCAATTGTTTTGAAACTCCCTTAATCATCAAAGTATAGCCCTCAAAGTGGATCATGGCAATACAGCTTTCTTTGTTATGCACGAACAATGGCCCAAAAAGATAGTAATGTCTATGATATAGATTCTCCAAAAGCCTAATATCTAAAGGGCATATATTTCCTGTTAATGCTGAAATGATTTAAAATTGAATAACTAGGGGAGATCTCCTAAAATATGCTCATGATGTGAAGGTCACATGTTCTTTTCAATGTCTTAAATGGCATCAAACTGAATAACTGTGGAATTTCTAACATGTTCTCATGACCTGAAGGACATGTAAAATGTACTGTATCTTAAATGATTTCAAACTGAATAACTAAGTGGAATTTTCTAACGTGTACCCATGACCTGAAGGACACATTTTTAATTCTATGCTATGCCTTAAATGACTTACCTTGACCTATAAACTAGGGGTATATATAAGCATGTACTCATGGTGAGAAGAAGATTTATTCCTTGTTGTTGTTGGTTGGAGGTTGGGGACTGCTAAACTTAAAGGTAATCATGCATAACCTTGATAGCTGTATGTGGCACTTGTGATAAGTTGAATTGTACTTCAGTGAAAGGGGGCAGGGGGACTTCAGCATTACATGGAGGAGGGGTATTGTATTTTCAAATGGTTTACACTGTGTGCCAAGAGAAATGTAATTCACAGAGGTTGTTAATAAATATTTTGAGATGATCTTTGAAATATGATTATTTTCTGAAGCTACTAAACTTGTGATATTATCCTTTTTAAGATTACAAAATGATCCAAAGCTCTCACAAACAAGCTTCATATCACTTCTACCATTTGCAATGTATATGTCCAATGGAAGCAAGTGTTCATATGTCCTTAAGAGTTCAATGTTTATGAAAACTCACTTGTCCTTCCCAGTTCATCTTGACTTATCTGTGTTCTGCTATTATCATTATTAGGCAATCATCTGATAATTATACTTTTTTCTGGCACAAATGTTAAGTCTTTTTATCTTCTGGTTAGTTCTTCCAAACTTGTGGCATATATAAAACAGTTGTCTTCAAGAAAGAAGAGTTGATGTCTTCAAGCTGTTGTGTAGTTTCATTGTTGTTACTTGATACTGCTCCTGTTAATGGCAGTGATGGTAATTATTAGAAAATGTCACAGCTACAATCGGTAGGCGAAGGAGTACTGCTTCTTAAACAAACAGAACCAAACATGAGTGTTACTACAACTGTAAGCAAGTTTTTCTAGTTTAGTTTGCCTTTTACTAAATGGCAAAGACAGTATCCTTTCTTTTCTCCAATCTCCCCTCTTCTTTCCTTTAACCCTTTACATCCTAACATCAATATGCATATTCTCCATACTGTTCTCCATACATTTCTTAAGATGCTAACAGGGAGAATCTGTTTAACCCTTTAACCCCCAGAAGTGATCAACATGAAACTTCGCCCTATAATATCCTTACATTATCCAACAAACAGGTAATGAGAACATTCAAACTTATCAGGTAGAAGTTGTTGTCTCGATCTAACACCAAATTCTCATAACTAATTTACTGGTAAATGTGTAGCAGCTAAAGGGGAGAATTAACAATCAGATTTTGGGAGTTAAAGGGGTAACAATCCAGAGCTTCTTTAGTTGGTGATTTTTTCCTTTATTTTCATGACCTTAATTTTTGAGATCAATATCAGTATCTGGGCAACTGCCCACCTACCCCTCCCCTAACCCAACATTAACCCTAACTTGTTATCAATTGACTGTTGTTGAGTTACAGGAGGGGTAGGTGGGTAGTTGCTCAGATACTGATATTGATCCAATTTTTTTTTATTCAGTGGTAATATTATTTATTATTACAAGGAGAAATTAGATGCTAGTCATTCTTGGGGGTTGAAAAATTAATTTCTTTTATAAAATATACCAAAATAGATCTCCATACCTTTCAGATATTTTTTTCTGTGACAACTTATTGACTTGAATTTTTTATCCACAGTGGTAGACAAAGGACGAGTGATCCATGATGTTTGTTGTGTTGTGACTTATCTCTTCAAGGAAGGTAAACTCTGGTCAAGAATAAAGAGGAATAAAAGGTGAGAACTCATTACACAATTAAATTTTTTGGAATGGAACTTACACTTCATATGTTAATTACTACAATTGTAGTGTCAGTCTGATAATTTTTATATCAAATTACACACTAACTGAAGGATGGCCATTTTGGTAGGTAGAATTGTCTTCTTCAATAGTTGCTTGAGTTATGTCAAACTTCCAATACCTGCATTTATGCTTTGTGATTCTGAAATTTAAATGAATTTCAGTTTTGAGTTTCAGACAGTGTGTAATCTTGTAAAATAAAGTAAAGTGATATACTAGAGACAAAGGAAGGGCATTTTGTATGATGTTTTAAGTGTTGCTAAAGGCAGATATAAAGATTTGAGGCATCCTGTTATGTGTCATGACATGGAATATGGAATTAGGCAATGTTTACCTAATTGGATGCAGACATGATGCTATAGTGCATCTCTGGGTTTCTTCTCCCTCTGCTATAACTCTTCTTGTTGCTATGGTTGTTCCTCTTCTTGTTCTTGATCACTCAGGATGTTATTACTTGTCAGTTTGGAATCATTTTCACTTGAAAGATTACAATATCCTAAGAGTCTTATAGAAATCTCATAAGTTCTTGTGTGAGGCCTGCATCAGAAATGTGTTAGAACACTCTCTGAATTTTTTCTCTCATATTGAGATCCTTGATTAGGTCTATTAGATCTTTTGAGATACTCACCTGACTCTGAATATGTGACATATTCATAGAAGGTCTTGTAAGATTATGGCAAAACATCATGCAGTTCTCGTTAGACTCTTTCAGGTTTCTTTCAATTGAAGTTTGCGCAGTTAATACAACTTCTGAGATTCTTTCATGTTCACCCAAGACATCCAAAACTTATTAAATTGAATTAAAATTGAACTTTATTTTTTATTTGTTGGTAGATTATTATTTTTATGCTCAATATTTTTATTATTTTTTAACCAAAGGTTTTTAGAACAATATTTAATGTTTTGCTAAGTTATTAGCTTTTATATATTTAGTAGTTACAATATAATAATAATTATAGTTAATGATAGTAATGATGATAATAATAACAATAATGATTGTAATGATAACAAGATTCAGTGTGGGCTAGGGTTACTGTTGAAAGATAAATCCACAGGAAATCATTTATATTAACTGCTCATTCAAAAATATGTTCAAATGAAAGTTTACTTTGTGACTCTAAGTAGATCATATGATTTAACAAAAGATCTGTTAAGAGTCTCAGCCAATATTTTTGAAAATTCACAAAACTTTTCAAAAATGCTGGGAGAGGCCAGGCCTATTCAATAATCTTTTTAAGATGGAATAAGAAATCTAGAATCTTTTGTCAAGTCTTAACAAGATTCCCAACTGCATATCTCATACTGAGTCCAATTTGACACTTAAGATTATAAATCCTGCAACTAAGTGAGATTAAAATCACTGATTAGAATTGCAATAATTTTGATGACTAAGATGTCATAATACTCTTCTTGAACTATGAATTGAGACTGAAATTGATATTTCTGCATCTGCCCTCCCCTCTCCCCAATTCAGCTATTTAAACAAAGTTTAGCCAATGTTTAACAAAACAGCTTTTGAGGCCATCTTCAACTGTGCCAAACTTTATTTTTTTGAACAATGTCGAGAAGGCTGAAAGCTAGCAGTAGAGAGACACTTACTTATTTAAATCTACCTGTCTAAAGAAAATCTCTGATGTGTAAATAACCAGCCTTTCAGAACTTTTAGAACATATTTGCATGTATCAGCTGATACTGTTGCTCTTCAGTGGTCCTGTCAGCCTCCATTTGTTTACTATTCTTTAGACGAATAAAATACATAAAACTGACTTACTCACAAGTTGTTACCACTGTAAATTCTTTTTCTGGTTGCCCCACAGTCAAAAAGCTCTGGACATCTTTTTCATCTAGTTACCATTCCTTCCCCAGGATTCATAGGTAGCACTTAAATACCAGTTGTTTGTTCTGACATATAATCTTTTTGTCTTTGCAGGAATATTCATCACTTCAGTTCACTTACAACATGCTGCTCACAATGAAGAACAAACCATTTAGTAAAAGCGTCATTTAATTTAGGTTTTCATGCAGTTGAAACTTACACTGTTGAAAATGCTAGTCAGAACACCTTATTACTGCACTTACATGCATAAGACAGAAGGATATTTCTGTAGTTTGTGTTGATTGAGTAACTTGCCAATTAATGTTCCAGGAAGTATCCATACCTTTTCTCTAGAATTTTCTTTGGTTTTTCAATTATGTTCAGAGACCCTCCCCTGTGAAGGTCCAGAGCATTGCTTTTCAGTGCACATCCACCCCTTCCCCCTCTCTCTCCTCCCTCTTAAACCAATGACTCTCCCAATATGGTATGAATACTCCATAGATCCATACTCAGGTGTAGAATTTTTTTGCTGATCAAAAATCTCTCATTGTTTTCTGTAAGAACATGAACACAAGAGTGTAAAAACATGATTTGATTCCTCTTACCATCTTTGTTCTACTTTCTTAAAACTACTAAAAAAAACCTCTTTTTGGTGAGAA